TCCCTCCCCTCCCCTCCTTTGACCCTCAACACCCAGGTGCCCGGTGCCCTTGTCACTAAGGGCCACTGTCTCTGCCAGTTGACCCCCAAGCGTGGACTGATGGCAACAACTGTCAGCCCTGAGGCTGCTCCGCGAGACCCCAGCACCCCAGCACCCAGCACCCAGGACACCGACCACGTAGAGCGGCCCTGCTTTCATAGCCCTGCTCATCCACCAGGTCCTTCGCGTAAAGCCCGGCGGATAAATAGCCAGGTCCTCCTCACCAGGGAAGAGCCCAAGCCGCCCCGGGACTCCAGGAGACAAAAAGCAGGGGCTTCACACACCAGTGAACAGTACAGCACTGCAAATGTCTCCTCAGAAAAGAAAACACCGACCACCCCGGGAGCCGGAGACGCCCTGTGCCCAAGCCCATCCTGTGAGTGGTCTTCTGTCCGGTTTGCTGCACCCAAGCTCCCTGTGCCAAGTTGTGACATGACGCCTTTGGGGCCTTTTCTGTTCCTTTTTGATCATCCTGGATTATTAAAAAACTGCCTCTGACAGAGATGGTACAGTGAGCACCTACGCTGGACCCTAAAGCTCAGCGCATCATCTGGGACATCCCCGAAAGCCGAGCTGAGGATGTTCTGGCCAAACCTGCATCCGGGGGCCTTGGCTGCTGTCCTGGACATGGCCCTTGTTAATGCTTCTCCTTTTATGACTTACATCTTACGTATTTCATCTCTTACTCTTACCCAACTCTTTCTTCTTGTTTGACAGCTGTGGAACTACTGTAACTGGAGACCATAATTCCCTATTGGAGGTTCATCAAGAGATCCTGGGGGGGGTTCTGGAGGGGGGGATCCTGGGGGGATCCTTGGAGGGGGTATTTCAAGGAAGATTAATGGCAACATGACTCATGCTTGTCATAAAGACATTTCATTTTTGGTACTGGGGATCGAACTCAGGACCTTGTGCTCGAGAGGCAGGCAGTGGCACCACTGAGCTAAACTCCCAGCCCTGTCATAAAGATTTTATGCCAGGCATAAGGATTTTTAATTTAAACATTTTAAAAAAATCCTTGGAAGCTGGGCATCGAGGTGCACGCCTGTGATCCCAGCATTCAGGAGGCTGAGGCAGGAGGATCGTTGTGAGTTAGAGACCAGCTTGGGCTACATAGTGA